AGCAGCCACCAGCAGCAGCACCAGCAGCAAGCAGCAGCAGGGAGCAGCAGGCAGGCAGCGGCAGGCAGCCGCAGGCAGCCGGAGGCAGCTGCAGGCAGCAGCAGGCAGCAGCAGGCAGCAGCAGACACCAGCAGAGGCAGCAGCAGGCAGCGGCACAGCAGACACCAGCAGAGGCAGCAGCAGGCAGCAGCAGGCAGCAGCAAGCAGCGGCAGGCAGCGGCAAAGTTGCAATTTTATAGTGGGTTTCAGAAGTGACGTTAGGCCCTTTTTTGGGGTTCCATTGCTACGTTTTGGGCACGAAATTAGGTGGTGTTTTGCTGTTTCGGATGTGTTTCGAAAAGGGTGTCTGGCTGTTTGTTTCTTGCTCTGGAGGCTGTTTGATTGCAGCAGCACCACAGCAGCAGCAGCAGCCACCAGCAGCAGCACCAGCAGCAGGCAGCAGCAAGGAGCAGCAGGCAGGCAGCAGCAGGCAGCAGCAGGTAGCAGCAGGCAGCAGCAGGCAGCAGCAGGCAGCAGCAGGCAGCAGCAGACACCAGCAGACACCAGCAGAGGCAGCAGCAGGCAGCAGCAGGCAGCGGCAGGCAGCGGCAGGCAGCGGCAGGCAGCGGCAAAGTTGCAATTTTAAGTAGGGTTTCAAAAGTGACGTTAGGCCCTTTTTTAGGGTTCCTTTGCTACGTTTTGGGGGCTGTTTGATTGCAGCAGCACCACCGCAGCACCACAGCAGCAGCAGCAGCAGCAGCAGCAGCCAGCAGCAGCACCAGTAGCAGGCAGCAGCAGGGAGCAGCAGGCAGGCAGCCGCAGGCAGCCGCAGGCAGCTGCAGGCAGCTGCAGGCAGCAGCAGGCAGCAGCAGACACCAGCAGAGGCAGCAGCAGACACCAGCAGAGGCAGCAGCAGGCAGCAGCAGACACCAGCAGACACCAGCAGAGGCAGCAGCAGGCAGCAGCAAGCAGCAGCAGGCAGCGGCAGGCAGCGGCAAAGTTGCAATTTTATAGTAGGGTTTCAGAAGTGACGTTAGGCCCTTTTTTGGGATTCCTTTGCTACGTTTTGGGCACGAAATTAGGTGGTGTTTTGCTGTTTCGGATGTGTTTCGAAAAGGGTGTCTGGCTGTTTGTTTCTTGCTTTGGAGGCTGTTTCATTGCAGCAGCACCACAGCAGCAGCAGCAGCAGCCACCAGCAGCAGCACCAGCAGCAGGCAGCAGCAAGGAGCAGCAGGCAGGCAGCAGCAGGCAGCAGCAGGTAGCAGCAGGCAGCACCAGGCAGCAGCAGGCAGCAGCAGGCAGCAGCAGACACCAGCAGAGGCAGTAGCAGGCAGCGGCAGGCAGCGGCAGGCAGCGGCAGGCAGCGGCAGGCAGCGGCAAAGTTGCAATTTTAAGTAGGGTTTCAGAAGTGACGTTAGGCCCTTTTTTGGGGTTCCTTTGCTACGTTTTGGGTACGAAATTAGGTGGTGTTTTGCTGTTTCGGATGTGTTTCGAAAAGGGTGTCTGGCTGTTTGTTTCTTGCTTTGGAGGCTGTTTGATTGCAGCAGCACCACAGCAGCACCACTGCAGCAGCAGCAGCCACCAGCAGCTGCAGGGCGCAGCAGGGAGCAGCAGGCAGCAGCAGGCAGGCAGCCGCAGGCAGCCGCAGGCAGCTGCAGGCAGCAGCAGGCAGCAGCAGGCAGCAGCAGACACCAGCAGACACCAGCAGAGGCAGCAGCAGGCAGCAGCAGGCAGGCAGCAGAGGCAGCAGCAGGCAGCAGCAGCAGCAGCAGGCAGCGGCAGGCAGCGGCAAAGTTGCAATTTTATAGTAGGGTTTCAGAAGTGACGTTAGGCCCTTTTTTGGGGTTCCTTTGCTA